ACCTTAACAAAAACTGAAGGCGGGCTTTATCAACAGGCGCAGTATGAAGGTCAGTGTGCTGTCTTCGCCAAATATGAAACCTGCTTTAAGCTTCTACATCGTATTGGCATTCAAATTGGCCAAATAAATGGCTGCTGAGCGAGTCTGCAAGCAGACATTTACGACCTTTCCCTATTTGGGTCTGGGTCACAACGTGACAGAAGCAAAGTGATCTCCGAACGTAAAGAGATGTTTCAGCACTCACCTTTTCATTGATTTTAAACGGTCGGTACTTGTTGGTGTGTTTGTCCTGGAACAACAGTAGAAAATAATCATTGAGAGCGATAGCGTGGAGTTCTAAAAGGGCAAACAGGAGAATACTTAAACACTTTCAAACGAAAAAAGACACTATGTAGATAAGTAAACTGAATATTCCATAGCTGGGGAGGGCTAATTGTAATTTATTAAACGATTTATAGTGGCATCGGTTTTAGGTGTAACGATGTATGACACAGATAAATCATCTGTGCAACGAACTTTATTCAAAAAGCGATTTGTTTTCGAGAATTCCAAAAAAGTATTAAGGACGCCTCTGATTCAAAGCTAATTTTGCCCTAGCCGCCAATTCGCACGACTGGAGGACATGGCGGAAACTTTAATTTGACATAAAAGAAGGAAGAATTATGGTTTGGTTCTGTCAATTCTAATGTGGCCATTTTCTAAGTTTCCGCAGTCTAACACACAAGTGTACTGATAAAGAGGAAAACACCAGTGTTGAGCATGAACCATATGCCCTAGGATGCCTCTCCTGCGTCTTTTAACCGTTCAGATCCGAATAATCCCTTTTGCAGCCTGGAGAGAGTCAAATTACATGGAATTTCCGAAAGTATTGCGCAATTTTTTTGTCGCTGGAAACTGACATGCTATCTGAAATACGTGTTAAAAATCCAAAAAGTGATCAGATAATTTTGGATAACAAATTCTTTTGCAAAGCGTTTTACCTAGGAGCAAGGCAGTTTCGCTCAATTCTGAGTAAGCTTTATAAAGCGCTGGAGAATAGGCAAAGTGAAAACCAGGCAACGAATAGGCTTGAACAACTTTAACGAAATCCTCTGGGTAATAATCATGCTATTGTACATCTGAAGATGCATGATCTGTAATGTTTTCTTAAATACGATTACGTCGTAGAAGAGGCAGAAGCGGGTTTTCATTGTGTTTATAAACTCTTTGTCAGTTGATCCCGGGGTAGCCTACTGTATATCGTCCTACAACCACACTGGAGGGGTTTATCTTGCTCCCACACAAGTTTGGATATTCCTTATGGATCAGAAGCGTGGAAGCTAGTTGTCAGAGCACAATTGTCTTTAATGATGGGTTCAAGAGAGCTCCTGAAACGGCAGGCCGATAAACACCATGTTCCAGTGGTCGCATCTTATTCTGAATAAATTTAATTGGCAACTTTACTAGGTTAAAATCTCTGGTCGGCGTGATTCGAGATATGGCTGACGAGAATGGGAGAGCCACAAGTTACCATTCAAGCTGCCTGTGGCGTTTCTGTTAATAAATCTGGTTTAACGATGGCGCTTTATCATGTGAAGGTATTGTAATTGGGATCTGCTGGACGAACCATTGGTACTTGGTCCATCCTCAAAGAGCAGTCCAGATCGGTGAACACCATAGCAAGTGATCTTTAGGAGCATGTCCACCTAATTATTTGAGCATATTAAGGCAACATTTAAACTTTGGATAAACTCTGCAACTAGAACGGAAATCGATTTCTAGTTCCGGTCTAGGTACTCTAGACAATCCTGTAGCTAGAAGGAGATAAACCAGCGAACTCGGAATGTCATATGTCCAAGTTTGTCTTATTGGTTTATTAAGGTCTTTGACTAAGCAGTTTTTCCGTCCGTCAGGATGGGCAGAATTCTGACCAAAAAGATGATCTTCGTTGTATACAAACTGCCGAGCAAATCTAGCTAGGACGTAAGGGCCTTCTGTATGCAGAACGTCGCGAGAAAGGTGGTTCCTTTGTAGTGACTGACTCAAAGAACAGTAGTTAACTAAAATGGTCAAATAGAAATAAGACCATCTTTAACGGCTGAATGGAATTTGTAAGAGGCACACCAATACATCCTGTAAAACAGTAAGGATGACTGATATTACTGTCTAAACAGGATATTAGAACAGGAACTGCCCCTAATGCAATTTGCCTCACTTTTTAGGCAATGAATACTTCCTATGTGGCAATTGAAACATTCAAAAATTCTACGTTTTTCACCGTCTTGGTCGATAGCTGATACACTGCGTGCGATCTTCTTGGCGGCTAGAGTCATGACTTGCACGTGCATTCATTTGCAGTGAAGCAAACTTAAGTTGTACCCGCCTTATTCGATTCTCAACCCCCCCCACCACCGTCTTTTCTGGCAACACACAAATTGTCATAACCCGGGGGCGTCTTCATTCCTTCTTCTCACACCCTTCCCAGGCATTAGTTAAACGGTGGAGACTTTATTCCGTGTGATGACGATGATATTGACCTGCGCCAGCTGCTGCCTTACGGTTGCGACACGCATGCTATCTCAGAAAATGTCAACTAAAAAGGTTTTTTTAGTTGACCCAATTGTGAAGAAACTCGCGGCATTCGGTGGGATTCGAACCTGCATAGGATAGAAGGCCCTCTAAGCAAACCAACGCTCTCCCTACTTGAGCTACGAAACCTGCCAAACCTCCTTAATAAATAAGCAAGCCTAGTAGTCATTCTGGTGGATTCTAGATGATTGCTTAAGAAATCGTGCTTGGACAGTCAACTTGCTGTCCCGTATTGGTGGATTCCATACGAGTGGCAAAGTTGGGCGGGTACTATCGATCCAAGTGTGATTAAACTCACGGTGTGAAGTGTGGCATTCGTAGCTCAAGTAGGTAGAGCGTTGGCTTGCGTAGAAAGCCTTCCCTCCTATGCAGGTTCGAATCCCGCCCAATGCCGCGAGTTTTTTCACAATTGGGTCAACTAAATTAACCAAATCTGCCAAAACTCCTTTATAAAAAGTTTTATATTTTTGAGTTGCAAAATGGCTCATCAATGATTTCAGAAGAGCATTTGGCGACCATATGCGTGCTTTCGATAAATTCTCACCAGGCCAACCCATATTGATCGTATATTTCGAATTCTACCCAGTTTCCGCACACATGAACTGTTGCGAGGAGAATTTATCAAAAGCAAGCGTATGTTCTTCTGGGTTTTATTTTCGATCCGAAAAAGTAACTCAAGTAGGATTTAATATTTATTACGGTGCAGCATAATCCTCAGATATTTCAGTTATGTCGGGTTGTCTGCTTTTTAATGAACTTTTTGTTCGATTACCGAAAAAAACTGCACGTTGTAAAAAGTACCACTTTCGTAATATGTATTTTTTGATTTTCGACGTCCTTAAAATGAAGATATATTTCGTAAAAAATTGCCTGTACACATCTGATAAAAATTGAGGTCTTTTTCAAATTCCAAACTAGAAGCTTTCGGTTTCAAAAAACTTTCTAATTGTGAGATAATGAGAAATTTTCATTCATGATATATTATATTCATCGATTTACTAGTGTTGTTTATAAAGTATAATACGTAGTCCACATCCATTTCAAAATTTTATGAAATGGCACATCTACTGTATATCAGGAGTTAAGGTCTTGCATAAAATTCGGCTTTGCCCGGAGAATGCATGCAGAGAACTGGTGGGGACCCCATCACCGCCAAACATCAAAATAGTGCAACCATTTGTTACGGAGTGAGAAGTTCTATGCATACAGTTAACATCGCCAAACAGATGATGGCTCATAGATAGGAAAAGGTGAGGTAAGCAGAAAATAAATTAAAGTAAGGAGAGTTAACTTGCCTGTATATATAGGCTTCTTCTCGCCGGGTTTCTTCTGAAGGTATTTCAGCATGTCGTAGTTCACCATTTTTGTAGTCTTTGCCGTCAGCACGTCTCGAATGTTGACCTTGCCCTCAGTCTCATCCCTGAAGTAGCTGTCCTCTTGCAGGTGATCGGCAAAACCTCGCAGTTTCTCCGCCTGCACCAGATCTGTCATGAACTGTTGGGCCCCATACAGCAGTGACTGAACCTTTTGTAAGCTAGCATGGAGATCATTAAACTCCGTGGAATCCTCT